GGGAGGCGGGGAGGCGAACGGTCGAACGTAGCGGAGAGGCCAAGTCAACACAAAGCCTCGTAATCATTAGCTGGCAGAGAAACTCAATACGACAGAAGTTGCGCGGAGTGCGAGGCGGGGCTGTTCCAGGGTGCGGTCGGGGAGAGCCCGGAAGCGGGGCGGGCATCTTGCGGACACCGGGTTTGGCGTGCAGCAGAGAAAGCGGAAAAAAGGGCGGTGCGGTACTCCTCTACACCGAAAATAAAAGATAGGACTCGAAGGGTTTCATTGCTTTTACATTATTTACAAGGCATTAAAAATTAGCACCCCGGCAAAGACATTAAAACTGCCCAAAGGTGTTAAAATTTAATGCCTTTGGACACTTTCGTGCCTTCGCAATAGGGAAGAAGTAAAATTTAATACCCCTAGAAGAGCATTAAGTCCAGTGTATGTTTCAGAAGGTCGGGTGTTGTATGCAGCGCCCCCAACTAAACGCCCTCCCCTCTCCTCTCGCAAGCACGAGCACCTGTTCAGGCTGTGCATGTGTGTTCATTCGCGTGTGTGTGCATTAATTAAACTGTCCTTAACGATGTCCGAGCGGCTCCGTTGACAATAAACGAGCCACTGGCTCCGCAGTTTATACTCCATGGCGGTGCGCGCGTGCGCATGCGTTAGTGTGTGTGTGTGTGTGTGTGTGTGTGTGCGTGTGTGCGTGCGTGTGTGTGCGTGAGGCGCGTGCGCGTGTGAGTTCCGTCCGCGGGACTCACCAGGATCACCATAGGATCACCAAGCACCGAATTGATGGGGCCCCGACGTTAATCCCTTGGCCGTCCCCGAATCCCGCTCAACAACCAACCACCTCCCTATATTCCGCCTCTCCCTTGGTCTACATCCACCTCCTCTCCCACCCCACCCCCTCTTTCCCTCACTCTCTCTCTCTCTCTCTCTCTCTCTCTCTCGTTTACTGGTCGCCACCACGCACACAAGCTCTCACGGATTGGTCTCTGTCGGGGCTTTTTATCCTGCAAACAAATATGTAATCATGAATAAATGAATAAATCCCAAATGCTGACTGCCGAGCCGACTGTCCATCCCACTCACAGTGACATAACAAGCGGCATACTCTGCTCCCTCCTGGGTCATGCACTCAGAGGGCAAAAGTAACGGCGGGACACTAAATGTGCGCTAAAGGACTAGGAGGCGCTGCGACACGCCCCTTCATTTGGCCCTCCAGGGTGATCGTGTGGGGCGTTAACGAGGCCAATGAGGCGCCTGTGCCGCGCTGCTGCTGCTGCTGGAGAACTCGCTGGAGAGCATGGAGGATTAAAGGGGATGAGGGGGGGGGCTTCGCGAGGGCCGCTCTCAAGTAAGTCGTGGCAGCGGCGGTGGTGCTGGAGCGAGGTGGCCGTGCCCCTGCCGCTTGCTGCTGCCGCTCGGTGGAGCGTGACCGCGTCACGTGACTGGCGGCACTCGGCGTGGCGTGGCGGGGAGTGGCGGGGCGTGGTGTGGCGGGGCGGGGCCGGGAGGGGCCGGGCGGGGCGAGTAGGCCCGTGCGGAGGTGTAATTCCAGCGTTACGGCACTATGCGGGGGTCCCCACGACACCCCGCCACGCCCCGCCACGCCCCGCCACGCCCCGCCACGGTCAGGGGTTGGAGGTAATAAAGCCCCTCCGCCACCACAACCAGGCCGTGTGGCGGGGCGGCGGCGCGCACGCAACGCGCTCAGCGCGACGACATCCGGGGGGACTGGAAATGAAGTGCTACGGAGTGCGGGGTATCAAACGCAACAGCAGCTCTACTCTATCGCGATAAGCGGCCATCATGAGACGGGGCTTGGAGAGGCGCGCCCGAGACAACATAGACGGCTGCTGGAGAGACTTGTGCTGGAGAGACTTGTGTTGGAGAGACTTGCGCTGGAGAGACTTATGCTTGAGAGACTTGTGCTGGAGTGACTTGTGCAGGAGAGGCTTGTGCTGGAGAGACTTGTGCTGGGAAAACTTGTGCCGGTGAGACTTCTGCTGGAGAGCGCCCGCGGAGCGGTGCATAGGCCGGCCGCCGCGCTCGGCCGCACGCAGCCCGTGGGGTTGCCTTCCCGCCGGGCGCCCCCGCAGCAGTCTGAGGTCTCATTCACGTCACTCACTTGCGCGTGAGCTTCCTTTCTGTGACGGAGCGGGCGGAACGACTCCCCCGCTGTCCGTCTGTCTGTCTGTCTGTCTGTCTGTCTGTCTGTCTGTCGGTCTGTCGGTCTGTCTGTCGCTTGCGGCCCGAGTAGAGCACCACTACCCGGCAGCGCGAGGGCCGCGTGGGACGGGCACACGGCGTCAGAGGACGGATAAAAAATGGATACCGTTGTCGGCGCCACCAGCCCACGTGCGTACTGCTCGGGGGAGCCCCCCCCCCCCCCCCTAGGCTGGGTCAACGAAGCGGCCCTCGGCCGTCAAATCTAGACTTACAAAAAAGAGAGTCCGCCCGTTTCTCTGATTTTAGCTCGTGACACATACAGGGAAATGCTAGTTAAGCAGTTGTGGCATAGCGTACGCGTCACTTTAGTTCAGAACGAGTGCGTGTGTACTGCTAACGGTTTGTTTGAATTACTGACCAGTTCAAACTGGAGGAAAATAAATTAGAAAGATTAAAATTAGTGTGTTGCCCAAATTTAGAGGTGAGCGAACATGTTCGCATTCGTTAGGTCTTGAACGAACAGCCAACTGTTCGTGATCGCTCGAACTTTAACACGAGGTGTTCGGACCCGATATGTTCGTAAACTGCTCGGACAGATTTCACATGCGAACAATTTCAGCCAGTGTTAAGGGCCTGGGGTCCAGTTTGCTCGCTAAGTTGAAGAATTTAAGTGTCGCAAGTTAGAATACGAACACAAATCTAAATTACTTGGTTTTAAACATTTCTTTACATAGTAGCAATTTTTGAAGAGGGAAGGGGGGGTGGGATGAGCAAAGGGGCAAATTTTAACAGATTTGGATTGTGCACTTGAATTTGGGCAGAGTTATGTTGGGTTCGGTTCGTTTGGGAGAAAATTTTGATGTTCGTGTTCGGTTCGGTTGGAGAACTGTTGGGCAGGTTTTGTTCAAGTTCGTATAAATTCGAAGTGGTCTGTTCGCCTCATCTCTAGCACAAAGCTAGACACAAGCACACACTCGCGCACACAACGAGTGTGCACAACTCACACACACTCGCGAACCAAAGGCCAGCCGCAGGACCAGCCCAAAAAAGGGCCGGCTGGCTACGGGAGTATAATATCAGGGAAATGGACGCGGTCTGTTTTGGGTAATTTCCGGCGAGCACGAGGCAACTGGATTATTCGGGTTCGCCGTTGGGTGCTAGGCGTATCCTCCCCTCCTTCTCTCTCTCTCTCTCTCTCTCTCTCTCTTTCTCTCTCTCTCGCCGGGTGTGTGTGTGTGAGTGGTGGGAGGGGAGAGAGGGGCAGAGAGAACTGCATGCGCCTTATACGAAATGCCCCCGCTGCTCGTTCGGCTCAGATGGAGAGGGGGGAGTGGGAGGTCCAATCAGCCTCAGAAGGATTGGGGCATAGGGGTTAGGAATAGGGGCAAGGGGAGAGGGGGGGTGGGGTGTAGCGGCAGGTCGGAGGGAGGTGCTTGGATCTGAAGCAGGTCCTCAACGAGATGGCTCTGGGGGGTGAGAGGGAGCAAGGACGGGAGGGGGAGTGGGCCCTTGCCCTCGGCAGCCCCCCTTCCCCCCCTCCCCCCTCCACACTCCACGTCGTCGACATCTCCTCGCAGGTCCTTGTGGCGGCGGCTCGCACAGGCTCATCTTACCCACTTGTCCCTTTTCTTCCTGACGACGACGAGGAGGAGAAAGAGGAAGAGAAGGAGGAGGAGGGAGGGGGGCGTATTTGTGACATTTGCCGCCCTCCGGGCCGCGCGGCCAGTGTAGCCCTGTGCGTCCGACTCGCAGCCATAGCGTCCCACGGCGGCGGGGCCGTCTCTCAAAAGAGCGCGCAGTTGAAGCTGAATGCTGTGGCTGGGCCAACGCATTAAAGCCCATCCAAACCGCGGCTGAGTTTCATCTAGCTGAATGCGCGGGGCGGGCCGTAGGATGAGAGTGTCGAGGCGGGGCGGGGCGGGGC